CAGAAGCCTAAACATGCATTTCTAGGTGTGTTTAAGCTTACCCAACCTCAAGTTATTAACTTTAGTTCATTACATGCATCAAGGTTCCATTTATAACCAAGGAAACACATGGTCAAGGTAGATGAAGCTTACCAACAGCTCAAAGCAGATAAAAAAATGCTCTTGGATCTCACACTTCAGCTCCTAGGGTACTGACTTCAAGGTGAACGAAAATGGACCAATAAAGCTTGGTTCTTTCACACCAACAAGGCTTCTAAGAGCATCACCAAGTCATGACAAGGCTCCCTCAACAAAGCTTATGAACTCAGCCCCACAACTCAACAAAACAGAGATGAAACAACCCAGAAAACTGACCTCCGCACTCACTACACACTCCACTAAGTGTTTTCAAGGATTAGCTAGAGAAAATCAAGGAAAAGTGGCAACTTGGTGGCTTTTCTCAAAGGCAAGAAGGCAAGGAGGAGGAGGAGGCTGATCAGCAGCTCCAACTCACGTAGAAACAAAGGAAAAATACCCTAGGTTCATGTGCCATTAGCTATATATAGTTGCTTAAGTTCTAAACACACAGTATTTGCATTAATAGCTACGCTTAGCATTTTAATCCCAAACTTTGGAATCTGATCCTACTCATTTTTCTAAGATTTAATATATTTTTTATTTTATTTTTCGCAGCACCTTTTCGGTACGCGCTTTTCCATAGCCAGTATCAGTTCTGGCACCAGTTCTCATTATTTCTCACCTGAAACATGTTTTACAAGTCCTATATAATATTCTAGGAATATTCATGTACATATTATAATATTTTGGGATACTTCATCGATACGCATTTATACCGAGTAGCAAAACTGGTATCTTCACTTTTCGTCAGAAAAGTGACTTTCAACATTATTAAACACTTACCATATTTATTTACAAGGAAGCACATACACTTGTAAAAACAGGAAGAGTCTGTTATCAAAAAAAAAAAAAAACAGGAAGAGTCGTGTCTGAAACGCTCCGACACGGCGACACGCTCCAACACGGTATCGAACACGCGGTCAACTTTTTCCGACATGTTGACTATCCCGACACGCGAATTTGACCGTGTCCGACACGGTCAAATGGCATTTTCATAATTTTTTTTTTAATTTTGTTTTAATTTTTTTTAAAAAAATTATTTTTTTAAAATTAAAATATATTAATAAAGCTTCCACCTGATCATATCAATTTTAATTTTTTGTCTTTTTTCCCCTTAACTAGATAAGAGATCATCTCAGCATCATTGTTGTCAATTCCTATCACGCTCTTGTTGTATCTCCTTGTCTCTGATCTCTCTCTAATATGATTTGATCTCTCTATCTGATATTATATCTCTTTCTCATCCCAGTTCTTATTTTTTTTATTAAGGCTTTCTTGCTATGCTGTCGTATTAGGATTAGTATCCTTGATGTATATCTATCCATGATTATATTAGATTTACATCTTAGATAGCCCCTTATTGGGCCTGTCATTCTACGGGTCCATAACACGTACCAATTGGCAGATGTTAAGTGACAGTGGCATGAGTTACTTAAAATATTAAATCTTCATTTTTTATCATTTGAGTACTTTCTTTTTTATTTTCTTGATGCCGCAATATTTATATGGTTCATTTTTTCTGCAGTTATTGCAGATAAGTTATCTGCAGTAAGTCCAATACGACGTCGTTTTGGGGCAGAAATCATGATGTTTTTGTAATTTTAATTTACTTTAGGGTTATAATAGTCTTTATATTTATAATTTCATTAAGATTTCAATACCAAAACGACGTTGTTTTGAGAATAAATGTAGATAACTTATCTGCAGTAACTGCAGAAACATTTTTCTCATATTTATAATAGGGATGTAGATCTCTTTTTATTATTTATCTTTTCTTAGCATGTATTTTTATATAATTAAAGATTTTGAATATGAAAATGTTCTGACAAAATTAATATGGTTCCTAAATTGTATTTTCATCCTAATAGATTACAGTTAAATTTTAAATTAAATTAGTGTTACGTGATAACTAAGAATCCTTATCGAATGATTAATTTGATTTATTTAATCTTTCAATACTGATTCAATGTTTCAAATATTACAATAACCAAATTAAATATTTATTTAATAAATAGGTATCCATTATTGCAATACCGCTAAATTATGTTATAAACTTAGTTATATTACTTATATATATTGGATGATTTACGATTAAGATTATTGGATATGATTTACTAAGTCAACTAATGAATTGGAAATCATTTCGCATTGTAAGAGATATGCATGGGTCAATGACTCAATATGATTAATCTAGATTCAATGTTTTATTTTTTTTTCCATTAATTCATATAAAAAATTGAAAATTCAAATATACATAAGTTGTTCAAGCAAAATGACATTAATAAACTCCATTAAATTTTCTTTGATTATTTCATTGCCTTATTTTCATTTCTTATGAAGTAAAAGCTTTATATAATCACTCCTTCATTTTATGCACCTTATTTGATTATGTGATCATAACGTTTTTGCTCCTTTTCTTTTGTTGGGATAACGTTAAGTAATCACTTTATGTGATTTAATTATATATTTATATATAACTTCTGATTTTTTTTTGAAATTTATGATTAAGTTATCCAGTAATATTTTATTTCCTAATTTAAATTTATTATATCATGCATTAACCACTACAAAAAGTAAGGCATTTTGTGGAGGTCATATTTTCATATTGTGGAGGTCTTTGACCCCCACAAAAGATATTTGTGGAATTCACCCAGACCCCCAGTTCTGCCTTCGCCACAACATAGTTTGTGGGGGTTTTTTGTGCAGTGCCACAATTTGTTGAAGTATTTTCTGGAGGTTCGAGACCCCCACAAATACTACACTTTCTGGAGGTTTAAGACCCCCACAAATGTTATATAATTTTCTAGAGGTTCTAAACCCCCACAAATGTCACTTATAGATCCCCACAACATTTATAACTTCCTAGAGGTCATAGACTGCCACAATGTTTTTTTATCATTTTGGCATATATGACTTAAGGAGAGTTAATGACAGTTTATCCACCCGTTTCAGTGGTTCCACATTAGTATTAGCTTATTATTTTCCATATTTTTATATTATTTTGCACCTTCAACAAAATGACTTCTTAGCACTTTCATTACATTTTAATTAATTACATTCCAAAAAAATGCAAGGCTAAGAGCTGACCATTGATCAGCTTTAGCAACCAATGGAGGCAAGGGAGTATTTCAAGAAAACTCATTAAATTGCACCAGCAAGTTTAGTTTCACTTTAAGATAATTTTGAATCAAAATGAATAGATCATGCACTGAATTTTCATTGACATACAAAGCAACTCCTTCAAAAACAAGTAGGAGATTTTATCCATTGAGCAAAATAATCGAAGGTCAAGCTTGCACATAAAGCATCAAGCTTTTTGACATAGCAAATTCATCTTCCTGAATATTGTCTAGGTTGGTGCTTTCTATCCAATCTTTCCATCTTTCTGAAGGAGGACTAAAAGTGGTGCATTCCCTTGATGCTTGGAGATCACTCAATTTATTTGTTATTTCCACCAGTTGTTCCTCACACTACAACAAAAATGTTCTTTAGCCACGGCAAAAATCGTGGCAGAATATGACTAAAACCGTGGCTAAATGAGTTGTCCACTGTTTGAAAAACCGTGGCTAAAACGGGCGTTGCATTATTTTAACACGATGATTTTTGCATTTAAGCACGGTCTGAATGACTGTGGTAACATTGAGTTAGCCACGGTTTTTGTTACGTTAGCCACGTTATAGTCGTAGCTAAACGATTTGGATCACTATGATCAAAAGTTTTATTTTGCCACAAACAAAACCGTGGCTAATTATAAGGAGTTTTTTTTAAAAAAATATATTACAAATTCTCCCAATCATATAAAAAGCAAATAATAAAAATTGCATTTGATGAAAGAACCAAAAACCAAATTAAGAGAGTTAATAAAATCGCTACCAAGATTTTCAATATCTTTATAATTTTTACATAAGTTTTTATCCACTTCACCTATCTAAGCAACACCCTGTAGGCAAAATTTTGGAATTTATATTTACGAAAAATAAAATAAATTTGGAATACATGTACATGAGCTAGTTGTTAAAGTACCCCAAAAATTTGAAGACTCGAGATGTGTTGGAGTTGGGTGCATGAGTGGGTCTTTGAAATCTTGCAATGTTTGAGAATGATCCTTATGATTTGAAAAAGATGGGTGCTTGTGTGGCTCTTCATAGTTCACTGTTGTCAAAATTCTTTCATAATTCCCAGTCAAATAAAATGAAACCCACATCAATTACGTTCACTAATATGGTGGTTTTAGGTTTAAATATATATAGAAGTGGCAAGGAATTTTGACAATTCTTACAAGAGCTAAAAGGCAAAATATATTCTTAAATATAAAGAGAGAAGCATTATAAAATGGGCAAATAATTAAGCATATATACCTGAGGGAATTGAACGAGCATCACTACAAAAATTAAGGTATTTTGTGGAGGTCATATTTTCATATTGTGAAGGTTTTTGACCCCCACAAAAGACATTTGTGGCATTTACCCAAACCCCCAGTTCTGCCTTCGCCACAACATAGTTTGTGGAGGTTTTTTGTGCAGTGCCATAAATTTGTTGGAATATTTTTTTGGAGGTTCTAGACCTCCACAAATGTTACACTTTCTGGAGGTTCTAAACTCCCACAAATATTGTATTTCTGGAGGTTTACTAACCCCCACCATATGTTTGACTTTTTGTCACTTAAAGACCCCCACAATATTTATCACTTCCTAGAGGGCATAAACCTCCACAATTTATTTATTATTTTAAAAAGTTTAAACCTCCACTATTTATCACATCTTTTAATAGCTTTAAAATGACAATATATAAGAGCTAAAAAGTTTATATATCATAATTTGAGAATTGAGCCCCACCACTTGATAAGCTAAGTAAATATTATGCACGTGCGCAAAGAGCTGAAATGATACTTGTGTAATACTTATTAATCCAAATTTCATTCGACAACTATTCTCAAAACTTGAAAGAAAATATTATTTGGCAAAACTTAAAAGCACGTTATCCTTCTGCCAATGCAGAAAAGGGGTGAAAAAAAAAGAATAGAATACAAACAAAAAAACCAAGAGACTATTTCCTCCAAAATTAATAGCAACAACTCCATGGAAATCTTGGACTTTGGCTAGCCCCATTCTTTTATGGCCTTGGTTGCAGCATCTTTTCCTAGTCTTGGTACCTCTATCACCATCATATCTTGCGTTGCATCCAAAGAAGGTGCCATATAAGTGCAAACATCGGGGTTCTCTTTTAAGATCTCCTCTTAAGTACACGTATCTCCTCTTGATCATAGACTTGTCACCTGAAAATAGTTATAAAGTTAGAAAAAAATGTAAAGACATATAAATTAAAAAATACAATTTAAGGATAATACGCTTCATTATTAAAGAAGAAAATAATCTAAGAGATTAAGTTACTTTTAAAATAATGTACTATAATTCAATATAAAAGGATAAGATTACCCTTAAAAAAAAAACTAATCCCGCATATTTGAAGAAAGTTCTTCGTGACAGGAAATTAAAAAAAAAAATGCTTGTTCTGTGAGGGAAAATACTTTTCCAGATTATTTTTATCATGCAAAGCCTATAACTGGAAGTTATAAGATAACAGTTATCAAAAGAATCACATAACATAATAACATACAACTAAAATTCAAGAACTGAAAAGTAATGAGGAGTAAAAGAAAGGGTAACCTTTTTAATTTCATGGCGTGGGATATCATGGCGATCCATAGGATTAATCTCCTCAGAGTTCTGTTCAAATAAAAATAGATGAGTCAGAAACTTACTTGAGTTTTCTACCAATTAGCAACCCAAGCAAGCCAGGAGTAAAAAAATAAAAATAAAAATTATACCTTAGCTTCATTATGGCAATGCCTACAGTCAAATAATAATTAGTTGCAATTTGTATCTCATGCTGAGTGAAGATCTTCCACGGTGACATGTGCAAGGACGAATCTGCATCTATTCTACAACTTGGAAGTATAGTCTCCCTCATGATACTGCTCATTCTTCTTGAGAGCTTGAGGACACTGAGAGGATGCAATTTGGCTAAGAGCTTCTTTGATTTGGTCCTCAACAATTGAAGAAATGCATGCCACTGAGAACCAGGTTTTGACTTATCTTGAGACTCGAAATCCACAATGGGTTCTCTTGAAGAACTTGTTTCTGACTCTGAGAAGGGATTAATATCTACAACCTAATTAGTAAATTATGGATGATTCATTAAAAAATGTTGAATAACATAATCTTTACTCACTTGCTTGCCTCGCAATGGTTGCATCTGCTCTATAATCCTTTGGAGGGGGAGAAACTATATCCATCAGCACCCCCTTTATATCAAGAACAAGAAGTTTTTTCTTCAAAAATCCAACTTGTGTTCCAGCCAAAGAATTTCTCAAATTTTTTGAACTAAACTCTTTGTTTATGACAGAAGCAGATAGTGCCTTCATTTCATCAGAATAAGAAGAATATTCTTTGGCATTTTTTCTTTCATCTGCTTCAGTTGACTCAGTATCCATTGAATTTTTAATACCTTCCTTCGGAAGGTTACAGGCTATGTTAATGCTTTGTACTGTATGGGGCTCCATCCTTTTTTTCTCTCAATCCCCCTGAAACTGGATTCACCTCCCCAAAAGAAGAAAGCAAGATTTATTATTTATCTAGGCTTTCAAAGAGAATTTGACATTGAAAATCTTGGTAACTTTAAACAGAATTAGTAATTCAAGGAACACTAAAATTTCTGAATAAATGTTAAGGGTCAACAGTCTTACAGCATCCAATATCATTCCATTATTCATTCCCCAGTAGATCCTAAAAATATGGACAACTATAGATTCAAACAAGGTAACATAATAATGTTTTCAGAAAAACAATCTGACAAGCACATGTGTAATTTAATACGGTTTAGCATTAAAAAATATATATATACATATTGTCAGGGAAAATATATATACATATATACATATACAAACCAAAGGTTTCTGACTCTTGAAGAACCAGATTTTCCCAGGAAATAATTTAAAAAGTGATTGGTTCCGTGTAAGAATGAACAAAGCCGAAGGGATTAGTGAAAGCAACAAGAGAAGACCAAATTTATATATTATTCATCCTAGTGAAAGGAGCTCTGCAATCAAAATTTCATGCTTCATAGGATTTAATTACTCTTTAGAATTTAGATTTCTTTGCAATGAACATAAACACGTTCCCTTAAACCAGAAGACCAATCAGTGAACAAGCCCTGAGAAATCACGAAGAGTGGTCTTCTCAGTTATTTTTCCCATTCCTGCCCCCACTAATAAAAACAAAATCACACATAAATTCACTCCTCTCGCCACAAAATAAGATTCCTACGTCTCAATAACATCTTAGCATTCTAAAGGATGCAAATTTTAATAAACTATCGCTCAATAGATTACCATTCTTAATTAATAAACAGTTAATATCTTGATATACTAGGGAGGTTTTCGATAAGAAAAGCTTTTTTATGAAAATGATGACACCAACAAATGTTGGCAGAGAATCCCACGGGAAAACTCAAGTTAACCTGAAACACAGGGATAATGGTGATATCAAAGTGAAAGAAATTTAAATGATGAGGACAGTTAAACAGTTTCCAGAAAATCACAAATTTTAAAAAACAAATGGGTCAGGAGATTACTTGTTCTACCCGCCCACACATTAAATGCTCAGCACCTAAAGATATGAGCAATTAAAATATATACCTGTAAATTCAGCTTGAATTCTTTAATTTTTCAATGTTGTAATCCAGTGCCTTGGCCCAAAGGCTAGACCACTGTTTACAATGGCTCGATACATGGTATGAACTGTGCTCTTCTGGCATTCTAAGTGCTCCACCCAAATTACCTACAACCAAAAGCAACATTCCAAATTAAAGTGCATTCTCACAATTACAAATACTTAGTTAAAGGTTTTGTTCATACCTTACAATGGCCATTTGACTTATCCTCAGTAATCCAACCTGATGGTTTTCTGCATTTCACAAGGGATGTGTCAATGTTGTCTTCTACTTATCCTCAATAATGATATGCACACAATCTTAACTAGCCCATTGAACAATAAGCTATGGGCATGAAGATGATGAAGCAGGTAGCAAAGTATCAAAGGGAGCACAAGCTTAACTGATAAAAACTATTTACAAGTGACAACTAACTCAAATTTGTCACAGTAACACACCTTCTTGTGACCTTCATAGTTTATATTGGTTATGATTGGTCTACTTTCTTGGTTTTTTTCTTCCCTAAATGCTAGTAGTTCACTAGAATGATTATAAGAACAAGGTTTTAACTTTTAAGCAATCATAACCAGTAGGGAAACACAAAACGCGGGACCTCATAATCACTCAAGTAACATCATTGTTGGACAAGGATTTGGGCTAACAAAGTTGCTACATATAAGGTGAAAATGCACCTTTTGAAAATGGGCAAATAATTAAGCATATATACCTGAGGGAATTGGACGAGCATATAGCAAGTCATTGCCAAGGCAAACATGAAGCACAGAAATGCTACAGAGGCCATTTCTAAATTTGATGTGATATTACTGCTTCACTATCCAGTTATATATTGAGTACTTAGAAACCATTTATTATTATTTTATCTACATTGAAACGCTCACAATGCAAGAAATATCACTACCCATTCTCAGTCACAAAGGATTGGTCAAAATAAACTCATAAAAATGTGATTAAAATTAATTGTCCAGTGCGGGTACAATTAGCTTTTTGACCAGTGTGGATAGAAAAATATTGTTGTCTTAATACCATTTGAAACATATTTGTTAATTTGAGACAAGAATGACATGGCGCTAAATGAACTAGTATCACATGTTACCACAAGGCAATTATATCTTTTCATATAATTAATTCCTATTTTTTAACTCTCACCCTATTTTTTATAATTAATTCTCTGTCTTTAACTCTTAATGTTAATTGAATTTAACGTAATTATTAATCATTATTAATGTACCTATGTTTCTCATGACTCTCCTTATTATGATGATCAATTTCTATCAAATTTGAATACTAGTCATACAATTAAGATCTGCAAAGTTACCTGCAAAGACAGAGAGAAGAACAGCTTCACACCTCCCGAGTCCTGAGAAACTCCTAACAAACATTACCCTTTAACCCCAAGTCTCCTTGTGATATAATCAAGAAATGAGAGAGGTGTTACAGGATTCATCTTCCACCCAAGAGTGGAAAGGACCAAAATTTCCATTCTTTTTATCGTTTTTGCTTCAAACAAGTATCCACTGTCCTCCACCTACACAAATTAGAGAAGAATCATAACCAATGATCAAAATCTTTTATTTTTAATTTACAAAAAGTGGAGTCATGATAGGTAAATGACACATATTTGGCGGTCTACAAAAAGGGCAACTTGGGTCTCTTCAACCTTAGCAGCAAGGGAGAGGCAAGTCACAGTAGCTAGTTGTGTCAGCCATGGTTCCCATTGTGTTTAAACATTTACACTATAGTAGTATATGTAACACAAAAGGCCTAGATACTAGTTGTATGTCATAATCAAACGAAATACTGGTTGCTCGAACGGTTAAATGCAGAGGGCAAAAGCCAAAAAGGTAATTATGAAGTAATAACGGAGACTCATAAGTCATAACCTTTTCACTTTTCTTTACTAGTACTTACGCTCCTCTTTTCTCTTTTTAAGCCCTCGACCTTCTTTTGAGAAGGGGATGGCTTTCAAGTAATTTGCACACCAATTCATCAATACTCAAGCCAATAGTCCAACAAAATTGCATTAAAAATAATTCTTTTAACTTATTCATGCCAATGGTTACAAATCAACACTCATCTTGCTACCCAGTTTAATTTGCTGCAGTCAAAATTTTTAATAAGATAATCTACTTGATCAAGTGAAACAGGCTTTCATTTAAAGTTATCACATTTAGAGTTTGAATCTAGATGTAAGTGAAACAGGATTATAAATTAAAACAGTTTCATAAGTTTGTATAACAACAGAACATGATAGATAAGAATAGTGCAGATCTCTGTTGAGGATGGAAACCTGGTTGTTCATAGCAAGAGCATATTGATTGGTGTTCCGGACAACATAGCTCTGAGTCCAGGATGTGGAAAGGGACTTGGGAGTGGTGCTTTTGTTGGTGCTACAGCTTCCCATAGCAAAAGTCTCCATGTGATTCCCATTGGTGTCTTGGAGTATGTTCTTATAGCTTTCATCTTCCAACACTTAACCACTGTATCACAAAACTATAGTAATTAAACCTGTAACTAAGGTACAGAGTCAATTGCAAGTTGATCATAATCATTCTTGTTCTCTGCCATTATACCTGTAACTAAGGTATGCAAAGTAAGCAGCCATTCATTGTAGGCCTTCAGTAAACTGCTCCTGGACAGGACTTCATTGCAGTTTGTCTTTCCTGTGCTACAAATGTAATTGTGAAACCTTCATAATTAAACCTTAACTTAGATTAAGTTTGGCACTTACTAATTATCAAACCATAACAAAAATGTAACATCAAATTTTGCAAGGAAAATTCAAAGTGAAAATATTTCTGTTAAGGAATAATTAACCATTCAAGTGGTTCATTAACTCAAAAACTTGAAGGTCTGCAGGTGTATATATTGAAGGAAATCCATCCCAGCAAAGCGATCTAAGATCTTCTAAGAGATATTTATAATCACCATCAAATTGTATGCCAGCAAGTTGAAGCAATCTCAGTCTCTTCATCTTCTCAAATGCTTTGGTTTTGAAATCAGTTGTTGTATCCATCATGGGCAACTTCAAATTCAGTCCCGTAACAGCTACGTTCCCTGTGAAATAAAATGCATAGCAGAAGTAAAAGGCAGTAAAAATTCTAGGAGCATAACTGAATGCAATTATGAGGTTTGGAGCTCATAAGGAAGCAAGTAACACTAAACGATTCACAATCAGGCTATTTTTTATTGTATTTTTTTGGAGATATATAGCTAATTTTCATACTTACTGAGTTAAATAAAGATAACAAATTGATGCTAACAACTGATTCGCCAATGTTTATCTTGCATCATTTGACGTTGGATTAAATTTAAAAACAAAAACCAAGCATGAAGTTCTTACAGTATCTTTTGATACCATATTAAGCACATTTTTGTCGAGCCATAACCTACTGCGCTTCTCGGCATAATCTGGTGATTCCCCATAAACGACAGCACTAAACCAGCAAAAAAAACAGTATAGACAATCTAAAATCAAGCTGAAGCTACCAAATATAAGAAGGAGGAATCGAGGGTACTCATCCTGCCCTGTAGGCATCTCTGTCTCTGTACTTCTTGTGGATCCACTGCTAGCACTTGTCCTATCTGTGAATCTTCCACAAATGTCACTCTTTATATTGAGATGACCTAATTATTTTCTCTTTATAGGATCTCTCTCTTCAAAATAAGAGTATATTTTATTTTTTATTTTTTGGAATTAATTAATTTATCATTGGATATGATATTCTAGCTCTTGTAATCTCGCATTGAGTTTTACACAGACATTTCAAGGTTTTAGGTTGAATTTGAATTTATTTATGCATCTGGTGTCGTACGTGTTTTTCTTTTCCTTTTGCATTTTATTGGAAATATTACTCTCCTTTCACATGAGGTAACTTATCTCATTTTCTCTCACTTCGATTTTCGCACTCCATTTTCTTTTTCTTTTTCTTTTTTCTTGTAATGGTGGGACCCACCCATTTTCTCTCTACCACATAAGATAACTATCTTATGTGGAAGGAGATTAATAAAACCCGCATTTTATTTACTTAATGTTAGAATATACAAATTACGAGAATAAAAAAAGTAAAATGGAATATTTATTTTATTTATGAGTTATGCACAAGAGGTTGACATTGATATATCCTATCAATTGTTAAAGTTTATTATAATAAACTATGAGATGATGAAGGAAAGATAGACCAAATTAATCTCTGATTTTCATTGATCGTTTCCTTGAATTAAGTAATCTAATAATCCTAATTTGCTATTAATTGGGAATTTAAATAACCGAAAGATAAAAGCTATTATCTAGGAAACTAAATAACAGAAAGATAAAAGAATAATCTTCCTAATAATTGCAATAAAGTCTTATCCTAATAAAATAGAATTTAATTAAATAAATAATCTTTGAAGTGGGCTAGTACTCTTGTTGCACGTTTGGGCCTGCATGCTTCATTCCCCACCCCATCAGAACAGGCTTTGTCCTCAAGGCCCACTATAGGTGAATCGATGGTGGGCTGATTGTGGGAGACAGAAGCTGGCCGAGTCTCCTCCCTTGTGTTCGGTTCAGGTGTATGTGGTTCCAAAGTGTTATCTTGATGAAGCTGACTTGGCAAGCATGCAATGGCTGGGAATCCGCTGGGTGAAGTCTGATTGGTGCGCTGGGTATGTGCCTTATCACATGGGCTAGGATTGGATACTTGATTGAGTGTACCGTGGGAACCTTGGACAGGGAAAAATTCTGGGGCAGTGTGCGCTGAATCATGTGGGTCAGCAGTGGGTAGTGCATTGTCGCTTGGGTCCTCCTTGTGCGTTGAATCTTGGGCAGCGCAAGCATGCAATGGCTCTTTAGTTCCTTGGGCCGCGTGAGTTGTATCTGTGCGAGGTACATCAGAGGCTCTTGAGCAGTGTGTATTGCTGGGGCGGCTTGGATTACTTGTGACAGTTGGTAACATGCCTTCAGTAGCATGTGAAATGTTGCCATCTTCATTCCATCGTTCTAAATGTTTTTCATCTTCCCATGTAGCAGCTTCCTGAGGAAGATTAGTCCAATGGATAAGCAGCTGGGTGATTGGTCTTCCTTCACGCGAAACATTGCGGGTCGCAAGTATAGTGTGTGGAATATGGATGAGGTCTTCAGTATCAATGGAGGTTGGGTAGTGTGGAAGGGGTCTGTCCTTACGGTGATAAAATGGTCGTAGTAAGGAGATGTGAAAAACTGAATGGAGTTTGGCGTCTGGTGGTAGTTCTAGGCGGTACGCCACTTTCCTATGTTTTCCAGTATTTTGTACGGTCCATAGAACTTGGTTGCTAACTTCTGTGATGAACGGCCACGCAAGGAAAGTTGTCGTTAAGGTTGTAAGCGTAGAAGGACCAGATCTCCTATGTTGAAGGTAAAATCACATCTTTTCTTGTCAGCTTGTGTCTTCATTGCGTTTTGGTCAGCAGAGTTGAATCAACGGCTTCTAATGTTGATGTTCCCAACGAATACCGTAGTGGATATGGTGGAGGTTTTCCAAACGTAGCTTCAAACTAAGATGTACCTATGCTGCGATTGTATGCAGTATTGTAACGATACTCCGCTAAAGGTAAAAATTTCAACCATTCTTTCTGCTTCTCAAATGTATATGCTCTGAGATATTGTTCTAACGTTCTATTGACCCTTTCTGTTTGTCCGTTTGACTGGGGGTGGTACGCCAAAATGTAACGAAGTTGTGCGCCTTGGAGTTGGAATAACGATTTCCAAAAAGCGCTGAGAAAAATGGGTCACGGTCAGTGATGATGGACTTTGGTGTTCCATGTATTTTCCCCACATTATCCCAAAAGACTTGTGAAACTTTGGAGGCAGTATACCGGTCTGGGAGTGGAATAAAATGTTCTCCTTTGGTTAGACGATCCACTACAATGAGGATGACAGAGATTCCTTGGACTAGTGGCAGATGTGTGATGAAGTCCATTGTTAGTTCGGACCAAATTTCTGTAGGAGGTTCAATCGGCTGTAACAAGCCATAAGGTGAGTGATTAATGGGTTTCACCCTTTGGCATACTTCGCAAAATTTCACAAATTCTTGTACATATTTTCTGACTGTTTTCCACATGAAAAATGTGCATAAACGAGACAATGTCCGCCGGACTCCAGCATGTCCGCCGATGGGTGCTGAATGGAACTCCTTCAACAGACTCGAGATTAATGAAGTGTGTTCAGGCAGAAAGATATGACCACGGTGGAGTAGTAGTCCATTTTTAATATCCCAGTTCCCCTTTTTTTCTTTGGATGACTGTATTTCCCCCATTAATTTTGCTGCGTATGTGTCTGCTTGTAATTCTTTCTGTAATACTGGTAAATAGTGAGAACTGGGTGTGGATAAGGATGCCAATTGTGCGACTGGGGGTTCAATATCCCCTTGAAGTTGCCTGGACAAACCATCAGCAGCAGCATTAGTGATACCAGATTTGTAAGTGATTGTGTACTGGTATCCTAATAATTTCGCCAAAAATTGCTGTTGTTCTGGTGTTTGGATCACTTGAGACATCAGATGGTGTAAACTATTGTGATCAGTTCGTATGATAAAACTGGATCCCAAAAGATATTGCCTCCATTTGCTAATTGCTGCGATAATTGCATACATTTCTCTAATGTATGTGGATTGGTTTTGCATTCGGGAAGATAATTTTTTACTAAAATAAGCTACCGTACGGTCATCTTGTAGTAAAATTGCCCCAATACCGGAACCCAACGCATCTGTTTCAATTGTAAATGGTTTACTGAAATTTGGTAGCATTAAAATGGGCGCTTCAGTGAGACGCTTCTTTAGATTTAGAAAAGCCGTGTGAGCCTCGTTTGTCCAGTTGAATTGGTTTTTGGTAAGTCGGTCCGTAATTGGTGATGTAATTTTGGCATATCCTTTTATAAAACGTCTATAGTATCTAGATAAACCCAAAAAAGTTCGTACCTGTGTAATAGTCTTAGGAATGGGCCATTCTGAAATTGCCTTTATTTTTCTGGGTCAGGTGCGACGCCTTCGCCTGAAACAATGTGTCCTCGAAAGTGTATAAAGTTAGTAGCAAAGGAACATTTAGAAATTTTGGCATATAGGCAGTGTGAGTGTAATGTTTCCAGAACCGTAAGTAAATGTTGAACATGTTCTATCAAATTAGGACTAAAAACCAAAATATCATCAAAGAATATTACGATAAAACGCCGTAAATAGGGTGCAAATACTTCATTCATTGTAGCCTGGAAGGTGGAAGATGCATTCGATAAACCGAATGGTAAAACCAAGAATTCAAAGTGTCCATGATGTGTATGGAATGCTGTTTTGTGGATGTCGTCAGAGTTCATGCAGATTTGGTGGTATCCAGATCGCAAGTCCAGTTTAGAGAAAACCGTAGCTCCATGGAGTTCGTCTAGTAATTCATCCACTGTAGGTATAGGAAATTGATCACGCACAGTTATGGCATTCAAAGCCCGATAGTCCACACAAAAACGCCAAGTGCCATCCTTCTTTTTGACTAATAAAACAGGAGAGCTGAATGGGGATTGACTTGGTCGGATAATACCGACCGTAAGGATTTTCTGACATAATTTTTCAATTTCATTCTTTTGGAAATGAGGATAACGGTAAGGTCTAACTTGAACAGGTTTAGAATTTGGAAATAGAGTAATGTGATGATTATGTGGACGGTTGGGGGGTAAGGTGGTGGGAATGGTGAAGACATCAGAGTAGTTGGCCAATAAATTTTGGATTTCAGGGACTGTATGAGGGATAGGATTAGTGTGTGAAGGTGGGGTAACGGTGGAATTATGGTCTGATTGGGTAAAACACATGAGGCATGAAGTGTAGGCATTACAAGCAATAAGCTTGTCAAGTTTCGCCGGTGAAATCATCATTGAAGTATCTGGCCGTTGTCCTTGGAGTTGAATAGTATTGCCATGGTGATCAAAACTCATTAGCAATTTTCCATAGTCCGTAAGAATGGGGCCCAATGTGGCTAACCATTGAACTCCTAGAACTATATCAACGCCTTGTAAATCTAACAGATATAAATCCAAGAAAAATGTGTGCGATTGCATTATTAATGGAATGTCACAACAAAGGGCCTTGCATTGCAACCCCTCGCCATTGCCTACTTGAACCGTAAAGGGGTTAACAGTTTGTAGAACAAGTCCCAAGTAAGTGGCCATTTTATGAGTAATAAAGTTATGGGTACTACCTCCGTCAATCAATATTTGGACCTGTTTGCCATGTATTGATCCTGTTAATCTGAAAGATCAAGGGGAATAATGACCAAAAAGAGCATTCAAACTAATCTCAGAAAAATAATTAGGGATAGGGTCTGCATCTGGCGAAATAATTTGAGTGTCCTCCTCCACTGGTTGGACATTATCATCGTCAGTACCTTCAAAATATAACAAAGTGGCCTTTCCTTTGCATTTGTGTTCGAAAACATACCTTTCATCACATCCAAAACAAAGTCCTTTGTCACGTTTGTTTTGAATTTCCTCCGCGGTCAGGCGTTTAATTGGTAGTGATGGAGATGAAGTAGGATTTTTGTTGGTGGAAAACGCATTTGTGTTGTTATTGTTGGTAAATGATTGGCGTGGTATCCATGGTCGTTGT